TTGGGAGATGAAATATTTAAAAATTAATCCAACATGAATACGTATTAGAGAATACGCTGCAATGACAATTTTTGAAAGTTTAAATTAAATGTTTTAATACAATATAGTTTCTAAGATAATAAACAGAAGTTAAAGTTTTAATAATTGAAAAAGTTTGATAAGGAAAAAAAACTGAAACGGGCAAAATGAAAATCCAACCAATTTATGAATGAATACATTTCAGGTTCAGTCCCAAAAGTGAGCTTTAAAAAATAACGAAGCCTTGAAGCTTGTATTATATTTCTTGGATACTTCAACAAAAATGTCAAGAAAAAACAACATTTCGAATTTTAAACCTGCTTGACATATTAATCATTTATTTCCACATACTTCCATAAAAAACTATTTCATAAAATTCTGAAAAATCACCCCAGACACCCTGAGAGATATTTGTATTTCCACCACAATTTTCCGTTTTCTCCCCGCCGGAAAATCGAGGAAGCGGAGAACCAGAACGCATAACCTTTAACCCGCGTCCTTGCTCCTGTTGCCTGGCAGTACCCACACAAACACACTCTCGCGGACACAGACAGAGGTCCTGGCTGGCAACCGCGTTGTCAACTGCTTTATCGATAAGCTTGCTTGTGTTTTGGGAACATCAACGGAACCGGCTCAGTTGGCAGGACATTGCAGTGACGAGCGGAGGACAAGCCGCCGAGGAGCCAAGGACCCCATAGCCAAGATCTAGATCAAGTCGCAGCAAAATGGTGAGTAATAAGTTAGTGAAATCAGCGGCAAGGTTCGCCTTATTTATCAGCAAACGGCTTGGCCAGTGGACGCTCTTCCTCTTCGCTGATTTCCGTTTCCTTTGGTCCTCTGCTTCCTCCATTTTCCCCTCATTTTCTCGCCATTTTCCGCGGCCTCTCCCACACCGTCTTCTTGCATTTTTCGGTTGCACTGCAAGCGGCGCATTCAATTTTTCATGCCACACCAGGCTGTTGCTGCAAATACAAAATGCATACCATCCTCCCGGCGCCAGTCCCAGTGCAGAAAGTACAGTGAAAATGTCCTAAAGACACTCTCACACAGATAGTTAATGGATATTTTTCAAATCTATATGGGTGATACTCTTTTATTCTTGTTGGAATACATTAACTACAGTGTCTTATTTGTAGTTGTAATGCCCTCTTAAAATAATTATTTTTTATCATTTAAACAAAAGACCTATAGTTAAAAACATCTATACAATTTCAAGTTTTTATAAATTAATTTTCACTGAAAACATTTCTTATCTAAAACTGGACCTCAAATAAATTAATTATTGAACAAGTATTTTTCTAGTCTGAACTACAGGCTTGATAAATAAAATCATGGCTCTTAAGGAATCTGCACTGTATATTTATGGCCATTTGCCCACCCCCTCAGACTCAGCCCAGTTAACACTCTTTCTCAGCCAGCTCTCGCCTTGCCCTGGCCTGTTGTCTATTTTCGATCATTTGTTTATGTATAGACCTGCCCCATACATATATTTATTTGACTTCGTCTCCCCTTTCCTATTTATTTGCATTCTTGCTGTTTTTTCTGTTAGTTTTTTTTTTTTGGTTTTATTTTATTTATTTTTTTTAAAGTACCCGTACATATTTATTTATATAGTAATGTATATCCCGGATGGCCGTGGTGGCCGGAACGGGGCGCAGGCGGCTTCGAAAATTTTTGAATAATTTGCAGTCATAAAATATGCAATAAGCCAACAGCCAACAGCCAACAGCTGTTGCAAAATTGTTTTGAAAGCCGCGCCATCACATTATTTAAAGCGACGATGGCAGCCCGTTTCTCTAGAGACATCGGGACAAAGAGAAGGGGGGAAAACGGAGAACGAGGCGACTGGGAGACAGGACCTCCAGAGAAAGAGAATCGAGTTAAAGGATTTAAAGTGCGAAAAATAGTTGGCAAAGGCGACAATTTCACAAATGCCACTCGCAAACAAACTCTCAGCATTCTCCTCAAGGAAGAACTACTAGGTGGGAAACTGGGTTGGAAAACTCCCGCCCCGTTTCTACCTCCAACTTCATTTGCATAGACAAATGTGGAAATTCTTTGGGCCAAGTTCGTTTGTTCTGCAGAAACTCCCATAGAAATTCTAGCTCATCTGCGGTCAAATATTTGACAAGTTCATTGCAAGTCCTCTCCCCATTGTTTATACTTCTTTCTTAAATTAAGCATTTTTGTAATAGTTCGTTGCTCAACTTAAAATTAATTCTAATTATTTTAAATTTATATTACAGCCACCAAAAGGGAAAAAAGGAAAGAAGGGCAAAAAGTTGCCAGGTGAGTTGTATTTAAAGTTTATTTTTTATTAAGAAATTAAGTGATTTATAGTGTACACTAGACTTAAGGAAAAAATTAATGTTCTAATATTAAATTAAAGAGTAAGATTTAATTCTAAATTTAAGTAAAAATGCTTTGGTTTAAAAAGTTTCTACAGTTTATGATTATTTTCAATCTTAAATAGATCTTTTATTTATGAACACTTTTATCTATTTTGACCTATTTGAAATTAATGAAATTTTTTGATATATAAGAGGTTTATATTAAAATAGGTCATTATTACAATAAGATTTCTTATTTTTGGATATGAATTTCCCGAAATGTTCATCAATGATTCGTAAATATTTGGAAGGATTTAACTTTGTTTTTCAACGACCAGTTTTGTGATTCTGGTAACTCAATAAACAAACCAAATATAAACTAAACAGGAAAGAACGGCTGTAGTCGAGTTTTCCGACTATATTATACCCGGTACTAATCTCTTCCACGCACAATTTAACTTATCTTTAAAACTTAATCTTTAGAGTCTTGACTCTGGAAAGTCTTTAAAAGTCTTGAGGGGTAACTCTAAAAATTATCCGATTCGGCTGAACTTTGATTTGTAGGTTTAGACTAGCCATTGGAACAGTTTTGCATCTACTAAAATTTTGAAATAATATTATATTCCATTACATTCCTAATTTAAAAGACAAGCTGTTTGTCCTAAAAGGCGAAGAAAGGACAATTTTTAACTTTCAATTCAATACATAACAAGAAAGGAAAGCTAACTTCGGGCGGAGCCAAAGTTGATGTACCCTTGCAGTTAAAACCGGATATATACCAAAAATCGGATGTAATGGGCCGATCATTATGAGAATATCATAGTAAAATCAATAAATTACAATAAAATATCTAAAAAAAAGTCCCAAGCTTCTATCTTCAAAAATACCACAATTGATACTTCTACCAGATACCATTTCCGATCGTTCAGTTATATGGCAGCTATAGGATATAGTCAGCCGATTCCGGCAGTTCCGACTTATATACTGCGTGCAAAGGAAAGAAGGGTTTGTGCAAAGTTTCAAGTCGATAGCTTAAAAACTGAGAGACTAGTTTGCGTAGAAACAGACAGACGGACAGACAGACGGACATGCTCATATCAACTCAGGAGGTGATCCTGATCAAGACTATATATACTTTATAGGGTCGGAGATGTCTCCTTCACTGCGTTGCCAAAATTATAATACCTTCTGCAAGGGTATAATAAGACCGTCATCAGCGGAATAAGTAAAATAAACATATTTAGTTATTAATAAAAGGTTTTTAATAAAAGTAATTGAAAAGAATTGGAATTGGCCTACATAGTTTGGATATTATAAACGCATATATAGGTTTAAAAAAATTAAAAAAAAGAAAAGAGTTTGATTTACTAATAAATTAATACAAAAACATTGTGGCATTGTCCAAAGGATGAAAGAAGGAACATATAGACCAAATGCAACAGAGTCCAAAGATGTTAAAAGAAATAATAATAAAAAAATTAAATGAGAAAGAAGAATAATAAATAATGAAATATCTGAGGAAGGAAGGTTGGTTGAGAGGAAGGAAATCTATTGGAATTTTATTTTTTATTTAAAAAAAAACGTAATGTTAAACTTAAACTGGAATATTGAGTTTTAAAATAAAATATAAAGTTCATTTAAAATGAAATAAAAAATTCGGCAGATTTAGGTTTAAAATTGTAGGTTTATAAAAATAAAAAATTGACAAATAAATTAATACAAAAACATTTTGGCATTGTCCAATAGATGAAAGAAGGATCTTATCGACAAAATTCTACAGAGTCCAAAGACGTTAAAAGAAATAATACAAAAAATTAAATGAGAAAGAAAAATAATAAATAATTAAATATCTGAGGAAGAATCGGAGAAACCAGAAAAGGGAAATCTATTGGAATTTTATTTTTTATTCATAAAAAAATGTAATATAAAATTTAAACTGGAATATTGAGTTTTTAAATTCTTAAATTAAATAAATATTGATAAGATGATAATAAGAAAAATTAAATGAGAAAGAAAAATAATAAATAATGAAATATGTGAGGGAGAAACCGAGGACTCAGAGGAGGGAAATCTATTGGATTTTATTTTATATTTATAAAAAATGCAATAAAAATTTTAAACTGGAGTATTGAGTTTTTAAAGTTCATTTAAAATTAATTAAAAAATTCAGAAGATATAGGTTTATAAAAAAAACAAATACAAAAAATTGACTAATAAGTTCTTTGAATTGCGACCTTTGCAGTTCAGCAGCTAAAAGTCTCATCTACGATGAGTTACCTGCATTTGCTTGACATCGATTGAATTGAATGTTTTTTATGAAATTAGCTTAAATCGAACTAAGGGAGATTAGGTAACTATCAAGCCGATTAAAGCACTCATATGTATTTAGTTCTATATATGAGGAATTAATAAAAAGACCGCAAAGTAAAGGCCCGAAGTCCATTGGAAAAAAATAATAAAATTAAAAATCAGTTTAGTGTTTAAATGTTTATAAACGTTTAAAAAAAAATAATAAATAAAATGAAAAATAAAACACAAATAATAAGGGAGAAGTTAACTGGTTGTAGCGCAGTAAACTAATGATTCGAAATGAACGAAATTTCGTCTTTTATACCTCCATCAGGGCCTACTAATCCCGATTGCATTTATCGATTCACTCGATTCGTAACACTCTTTGTAGCCCTGGAACCTGGCTGTCATAGTGAAAATTCTTGTGAAAAATAAATAATTGTTAAAGCGAGACCCTCTGGGGCGATGGATAGGCATATGCGTGAATTAATTGGAGTTCTTTTACTTCCGCAGGTAAGCCAAGTGCCTGTCAACACCGCGCATAATAAAATCAAACATTAGGCGGCCGAAAGGCCAACAAAGAGGAGAATCCAGGAATGCAAAATATGGAGACTATAGTCTGTAATCTTCTCTACAAATGGTCAGATTTCTCCAAAATTGATGGAAAATATAGGGCATTATAGGAGTGTACATGAAAAATCAAATAGCTCCATCTCTAATAGTCTCTGAGATGCCCTCGTTCATATAGACAGACGGACATGGCTGTATCGACCCGGCTTAAGATTATGGGGTCGGGGATGATTCCTTCTTTTCGGGGAAGATTCCTACATACACTTGTCCTTATGTAACCCTTGTACTCTACGAGTACTGGATGTAAAATAATATGGTCTTGAATGGATAAATTATTATAAATTATAAATTACTTAAAAATACGAACCTGAAGGGACTGCAGGCTCTGGTGCAGTTGCTCCGCCGAGGTGGCGCCAAGCAAGAGGCATTGGACGGGCTCGTGCTTGAGTGACCAGGCGATGGAGAGCTGGGTGGGACTGCAGCCCAGCTTCTCGGCCAGAGCGGCCAAGTCCCGGAGTCGATCGCAGTGACGACGACCCTCCCTCGATCCTGTCCTTGGCCCAACTTCCCTGGGGAGAGAGGGCAGCCTAGAGAAAGGGGAACCTCATCAAGTATATAAAACTAAATTTATTCAAGGACTCCCCATTACATTTCGATTAATTTCGTCCTCCGTCCAGGAGAAGCTTTTCGTTTTGAGCATTGTCCGTATTCCAAAATTAAATGATCTCTTTGGACCAATTCATTAGATTTTTCAACAAGACAATGCTCTTATTCATAACGCTCGAGTAGTAAAGTCGTTTATTTCGAGTCGATTGAAAATGTTTGGAAGGTATAAGAAGGAGGAAAGCTATACAATAATAAGGAAACATTAACTGCAGCTTTTAAACGTGCTTGGAGCGAGATTTCGCGGAAATACATAGATTCCCTGTATTATTCTATGAAGGACCGGATATATGAAGTTATTACTAACAAAGAAGGCAGTACTCATGACTGAAATGGTTTTTTTTATTTATAATAAATCAAATATTGACAACAACTACAAATTTAAGTTAAAAAAAAGAAAGGAAAGCTAACTTTGGGCGGAGCCGAAGTTGATATACCCTTGCAGTTAAAACCGGATATATATCGCAAACATCGGATATAGTTGGCCGATCCTTATGAGAATATGATAATATAACCCAATTTATTATAATATAAAATCTAAAAAAAAGTCCCAAACTTCTATCTTCAAAAATACCAAAGTTTGTATTTCTACCAAAAGCCATTTCCGATCGTTCAGTTATGTATATGGCAGCTATATGATATAGTCGGCCGATCCTTATGAAATTTGGCATGTCGTAATGTTTTGCCAAAAATAGCTCTCATGTCAAATTTGAACTCTCTAACTCTAAAAACACCAAAGTTATACCATTTCCGATCAATCAGTTATATGGCAGCTATAGGATATAGTCGGCCGATCCCGGCCGTTCCAACTTATATACTGCGTGCAAAGGAAAAAAGGGTGTGTGCAAAGTTTCAAGTCGATAGCTTTAAAACTAAGAGACAGACGGACATGCTCATATCAACTCAGGAGGTGATCCTGATCAAAAATATATATACTTTATAGGGTCGGAGATGTCTCCTTCACTGCGTTGCACACTTTTCGACAAAATTATAATACCCTCTGCAAGGGTATAAACATTGAAGTTAAAGTTAAGTGTTAAAGTTTTTTGAATTTTTAGATTTATTATATATTAGGAAGTTCTTATTGAGTTGCGCAGAATTACTGAACAGTCATACTCAACAATTAATTAAAATGTAATCCATACAATACTAGCAATACAATATTATTTAAAATGTTATTTAAATGAGTTAAACCTAAAAAACACTTGGGAATGCGGTTGTATTATTTGAGAAACAAATGTTTGCCCTTAAAGTTCTTCATCAGTTAAAGCCTCTCCGGAATGGATGTGAACGGAATGGGAACTGTCCGGTAATTCATTTTGGGAACATTAATGGCAGCAGGGTGCCACAGGGGCAGGGTGCTGCTGGGCAGCCGGGGGGATGGGTGCAAGGGGAGCATGGTGGACATTGGTCATTCAAGGCAATTTAAAAAGGCCAAGCAAAACAATTAGTAAATAACGATAATCTGCGTGAGGAGAGGCGCAAAGTGAGGCAAGGGGCGTGGCAAGGTACAGTGAATGGGCCTGGGAGTGGCAGGGTGAGGGGTTTAGGGTTAGAGGTCTGGGGGAAAATGGAAAATGGAGTAGCACTGCGGGCAAGAAAATGCCGAATGCAATTCCTCTGCTCCAGACTGGCAGCCAAAAAAAAAAGAATTTTTAGAAAAAAGCTGTGGAGGCCAAACTGTCCACTTAATTTCCACGAGTGAGCACACTCCTCACCCCTTATTTCCCCACCCACCACTTGATCCTCCGCTCCTGCAACATCTAACGCACATAATTGTTTCTATGACTCCACAGGACGAAATTATACTCTACTTTTTATGACAATTTGAGAAACTTATGCTTGCCTAATAATATTTTGAAAATAAATGAAAACTACTTCTTAACCAGCTTTTTAAAAACGAATAAAATTTTAACATTTTTTGTAGGAAACTTTTTTATTTAACAAAAATTATATTATGCTTCTAATAATATTCAAAAAATGTTCTTTTCTTTGAGATTAATTTTTTGTTTAATGAAAATTTATTTCAAGAGGCATTCCATTAGTTCGTGAAACATACTTTTTAAACAAAAATATTCAATCTCTTCTCTTCATTATAATTTTTTATCAACATTATTTTCTAATCATTTGGGTAATTAAGTAACATATGTAGTATTTCCAAAATCTTAATGTTTAATATTTTAATATAGTTTTCCTCAGATAAAATCAAATTTAATTTATTTTCCAATATTTCTTGAGGCTCTGTGTAGCTCCTAGTTCGAGCTGGAGTCCTAGTAGTCGTCCTGTCTCTAGTTCGAGTCCTGGATCCTGGCACCAGCCGGCCAACGATGCCAATTACAGAAAACAATTACAACACGGTCTGCTGCTGGGCCACATATGCGGGCATTTGCCCAAGGACTAGGGGGCGTGGCATGGCCAGGACAGGATGATAAAGGGGAAAGGAGGGTGGAGAAAGGGGCAGGGCAGAGTCCGTGGGGTAGCCAGGCGTGCCGCTCTCATTAAATTGCCATAAAGCTGGGAACCCCAAAAATGCGGCCAAAAGTTTCCACTCACTCTCAAAAGCCCCAAGAGTACTGAGACATAAGCTACAAAAAAAACATGACACAAAAATAACTATTGCAGTTCTTAGACATTAAACAAAAGCTTTGTTAGAGTTTGCTTTCAATAACAACAAAAATAACAAGGGCTAGTTTTGAACTTTTGTTAATACAACAGATAATGTATTGCATTTAGCCAGAATTGAACCTTTGGCGATTTTTTTATAAAATATCTAGGGCATTTCGGTGTTCACGGGAATACCGTGATCATAGTTATACCGTGAGTCAATACCTATCATAGTTAACCAGGCTAAGTTCATAAGCAACCCAAAAAATTTTAATTTTTAATAAATACACCAAAACTCCCATGGGAAGCTGACCTTTTGTCCAAATTTTAATTTTTTTTCCGAAATATGAAAATTTTTTTGGAATCGGAATGAAACGAATAAGGGTTAGATTCTAAACAATTCCCGAATTTTGTAAATAAATACAATTTCTGCAATAAGGTTTTTGTTTTAAGAACTTTATAGGTATTTATGTATGGACATCGAAGAAGATTTATAACCTGATTTATAGAGTGTACTCTTTTTTCGGATCCGTTTCAAACCGCTCAAGATATGTTTAATTTTTATTAAAATTATAAAATATTACTATAAAAATCAAATAATATTTTTGATTTTTTTATTATATTTTGTATAGCAAATATGTATCTCTGTAGTTTCTTTATCCAATTCGAAAGGATATCCCATTTATAAACCAGGGCTTTAATCGTCTTAGAACGACATGCATTGATTTCAGAAGCAATTTAAAAATAATTTGATTAGATTTTTGGAAATTTAAACTTTTTTTTAAAGGGTTTTTGCTCAGCCAATTTTTTTTTTAATATGTATATTGGTATATATTAAAGCCTGAATAATGAATAGTTTACATGTTTCGAAAAATTAGGTTTTTGGACAAATGTCATGTTCATTGGTCTTAAATTGGCCAATACTCCGTTCTTTTTCTCAGATCAATGCTGTGAAAATGTATTGTTGGCCAAGGCTTCGCAGATTGGCCAATTCCCAGAAAATTCTTTTTTAAATTCAATATCCCCCCGTGAAGAGCTCGTGTTAGACTGGTACTACTGATCTGAAACTGGCAAAACCAAAATAAATTTTAAATATAAACTTAAATTGATGTTTTGTTTCTTACCTTATATTTAAAAGAAATTATTTTTAAGGCTTTGAATAAGGCATATATTTAAGATATGTATTTCTTTGTCCTTCCAAACACATCTATATATATTTAATCTCACTTGGCAGTGCTCATCGATGGCGTGGACACTTCGGCAATGACCCGGGACCAGCTGGAGGCCTTTGCCCTCCGGCTGAAAGCGGAAATGGATCGGGAGAGGGAGGAGCGCAACTACTTCCAGTTGGAGCGGGACAAGATTCGCACCTTCTGGGAGATAACACGCCAGCAGCTAGGTGAGTTCTCAACAGCTTTTACATGTCCAGTTTCCTGTATAATAATAAATTAACAGATGAGACCCGCTATGAGCTGCAGCAGAAGGACAAGGAGATCGAGGCCACCCAGGACTTGGCGGACATCGACACCAAGCATGTGATGCAGCAAATGAAGCACCTCCAGTTCGAGAATCACAACAAACTGGGCGAGGTCCGGGCGGAGGCGATGACCCAACTCAAACTAGCCCAGGAGCACCATGTCCTCCAGGAGAACGAGCTGCAGCGGGACAAGCGCCAGCTCCGCAGGATGCTCCGCGAGAGGATGGAGATGAGCGAGATGCAGTTGCGCCAAATGGAGGCCCACTTCAACGAGAAGCTCCTGTGGGTATCCTCTAATGGGGAAAACTTTTCCTAAAAAATTTAAAGAGTTTATTTACGTATAATTGGCTTAAGGAAATCTTGGTTACATGTTATGCAAAAATAAAATTTAAGGTAGATTCTTAAAGATATTTTAAAGCAAAAATAAGATATTAGGTCAAATATTTCTTTTCTTTCAAAATAATACAAAAATGTTATAAAAGTTAGTTAGTTTTTGTTTGATTATCCTTTATATATTTTGTTCACTGTTCACTCTAGACAGTTTTAGATTCAAAATTTGAAATTTAAGATAAATTTAATATTACCAATTAAATTTTTTAATAATTTTTAATAATTTTTTAATCATTTTTAATTATTAAATTTATTAATAATTAATATTATTAAAATAAATAATGTACACGAATGAATTTAAATTTTTTCAAAATAGTCATTTCTAAAGAAAATTTTATTTATAAAAAATTTAAAGAACATGTGTTTATAAAAAAAAAAAATTGCAAAATAAAGAATGAATTTATTTTATTTAGTATTTATTAGAATAGTGAGCTTAACTTGTAAACCAATATTTAGTTTAGAAAATTTTATAACATACAATTACACAGCCACACAAAAAAAAATATTTTTTTGGGTCCGGAGGTCAGACCATGTTTACTATATGTTTTCGGGGTCGCTGAATCCGAATCCGAGGTCCAAAAAACCCCAGCACGTCAGGGTTCTGACATAACCTCAAAAAACCTCATACAAAATTATATTCGAGTCCGTGGGTCAGACCATGTTTATTATATGTTTTCATATAGTAAACATGGTCTGACCTCCAGACCCGAAAAAATATTTTTTTTTGTGTGGCTGTGTTATAAATACAAAAACATTTTTCTCTAAAATTTAAAGTAATTTTCCAATTACTTTTAGAATTCATAAAGTTTGGTTACAAAGTTTATTTTGGCTTTCATTTCAGTTACATTCTTTTTATTTTTTGGCCTTTTTGAAAAATTCTAAATTTAGATATAATTAAATTCAGAAAAATTAATTTTTAGAATTGAATATTATTGAGAAATTTTCATTAAGGGTGGCTCTAAAAGTCAACCCCTTGAGTATGCCGCCCTTAAATAAAAATACAATAACTTCTAAATAATAATTAATAACCATTTTTTCTGCATCCTGCCAGGGAGCAAAGGATAACCTTCGAACGGGAGCGCAAGGACAACGAGATGCTGCACGAGGAGAAGATGATCGAGCAGAAGGCCAAGCTGGACCTCTTCTACGGGACGCAGATGTTCGAGGTCGAGGAGCGGAAGAACCAGCAGATCAAGGACCTGCAGGACCACCACGATCTGGCCTTCAACGACATGAAGAACTACTACAACGACATCACCCTCAACAACCTGGCGCTCATCGGAAGCATGAAGGAGCAGCTGGAGCACCTGAGGAAGCAGGCTGAGCGGTCGGACAGGATTGCAGCGGACACGGCGTACGAGAACCGCAAGCTGAAGGAGCCCCTGGAGCACGCCAATATCCAGTTGAACGAGTATCGTCGGAAGCTGGAGTTCTACGAGAGGGACAAACAGCAGCTGCACCGCCTGAAAGGACGCAACACGCGGTTGGAGAAAAAGGTCAAAGGACTCACCTGGGAGGCGGAGACGCTGATACTCCGCAACGATTCCCTGGTGTCCGAGAGGGAGGGCCTCAAGGAGCGCTTCAACGACGTCATCGTGGAGCTGCAGCAGAAGACCGGTCTGAAGAACGTCCTGTTGGAGAGGAAGATCGCCGCCCTGATGCGCGAGGACGAGAAGCGCAGCATCGTCCTGCACGAAACCATCGCCACCTGCGCGCCCAACTTCGCCGAAAAGCTGACCAGCCTGGACGAGCGGGTCGGCAGTATCATCGACGAGAAGAATAAGATTATCCTGGATCTGCGTTACGAGGTGGCCAAGGCCAGGAAGGCCCACGACGATCTCTTGGAGACCTACGAGTGCAAGCTGAAGCAGTACGGAGTGCCCACCGACGAGTTGGGCTTCAAGCCCCTCAGGGATCGGGAGACGCAGCAGCTCTATGTCTGTGGTCCTGCGGGAATTATTACGGAGAACAAGTAGGACTCGTAGCTTCAGGATTCAGGCAACCACAAGAAGACACCAGAAGACAGGACTTTTTTTATGAAAAGAACAGGAAAAAACTTTACAGAGGTCCTGCAGATAAGAAACAATTTAATAAAATAAATTCAAGTATCCGAAGAGGCCTGCAGTATTCCTGAAGGATTGACAAAGGACCTGGAAAAAGGACCTTAAAAAGGCTAAGATTTAAGATAAAAAACATTACCCTGGACTATTTTTGTTTAACTAGAATAACATAAAATATTTAAGGTAGAACTTTCACGAAAGATATTAAATTTTACGAACAATTGGCGAGATAAACATGAAAAAACGAAAAAATGTCCTGAAATCAATGTACAAAAAAAAATTAAATGGCCTCTTTCTAAATCGAACTCCTGCAGAACTTTTGAGTTGATTGTTTACAAAAAAATAAAACCTTAAACTAACAAAACATATACAATTGAAGCAATTCAAAAGGAAGAAATCTAACAAACCAGGAAAAGATGCATAATAAATTATCTAATAACAGAGATCTAATATTTTTGGAAATACTTTACCAAATTTTTGAATGAATTACAAACAAACATAGTATGTACCAATAAACCTCAAAGATAGAATTTTTCAAATTAAATCCGTAAAATAAATTGTTTCATCAGCACTTCAATGACTTAAGATTAAAGAATGTAAAATTAAACAATAAAATATATCTCAAGAATTTAAGACTAAGACTAAGATCATTGGAGATTCAATCATATTACATCGAAAATATTTTCAAGAAATTTAAGAAAAGGACTAACGAAGAAAAAAGAATAGGAATTCAAGCAGAAGACAAGACTAGACATCCAGAGAGCTTGCAGAGAAGAATCTAAAATCAAAAACTTGACCACCCCAAGAACAAAAATTGTTGAAATGTGCTTTTTCGAATCATTCAGAATTTATTCAACTTTAGCCTAGATTAGTGTATAAGAAGTATGTATACGTATATGTATATGCTTATAAAAACCTTCTGGAATACTTTAGCAAGGAGTCGAACATGTTTTTTACTTTTCGTTATTTTTTTCAATTTTTTGCATCGTTTTAACTTTTGATGGGGGAATTCGCGCGTACAGTCCAAAATTTTTTGGCTAAAACACTACAGACGGAAAGAGATAGAGTGATGGTGTGTGAAAGAGATGAAAGACGGTAGATATAGAGCGATAGAAAGAGACGGGGAGATCAAAGGGTCAAAGTCGAGCCATGTTTTTAAATGTTTTCGTGTGTGTTTGTTTCATTATATTTTGGATTTGAATTGGACTTGAATTACATTAATATTATTTTTCTTTTTTTGTTTTTTTTGTGATCTGTGTGTGATTCACGGATTTGACTTAATTAATTAATGCTTTGAATGGAGAACGAACGATAGACAAAAATAAAGAATAAACTCTGCTGTTCGTCCTGGAAACTCTGGTGATTTCTGAACGCTTCGTGGCTTTTTAGGTCTTTAGGCTAATTTTACTATATTGTGTATCGGTTATGGTTTAGGGTCTCTCTTTAGTTTGTCAATTGATTTATTTTTGAAATAGATATCACATGATGTTTTGCTTCTTGTTGCTGTTTTCCTTCTACGGATTTAATTCAATTCGATTTGTTTCGTTTCGTTTCGTTTTAGTTTCGAGTTTTAGTTTTTAGTTTTAGTTTCCTTAAATTGATTTGATCAACAACAATAATTTTCCTTATTAAAATTTCTCTAACTGAAATGTGTGTGTATTTCCTTGGCATTAATTCTTGCTTCTCTCTTTTATTGTGTTTGGTTTGAGTTTCTCTCGGTGCATGTGGCATACACTCAACAAACTGAATGGTAACTTCCTCAACGTGGAATGCTCTCCCTCCCTACAATGCTTACAATCTAAGTCAATATTCTGAAAATACATTCTGAAACTTAAAACATAAACAGTAGTAAAGTAGTAATACCTTGGCGGGGGAAAAAAAAAATGGTTTCTCAAATAAAATATAGTAAGTAATGGGTTGCTTAGACTTAACTCCTTAAGATTAGTAACAATAAATTCAAAAACCAATTCAAGATTCGAATGCGCTTCTGCTGTAACAATCTGCTGTAAAGTGTATATGATTCTCACCAGATGTCTCACCAATTGTCCCTAGTAGTGCCAGGCAGCGCGGGTTGTTTTTTAATGCTATTTTTCTCAGTGTGTTTGTGTAGTTTCTGCTTGATTCTGATTTATAGTGTGCCTTTAGTTTGGATTTCGATCTGATCAGATTCAGTTTCAGTTTCAGTTTTCTATGTTTTTTCTAGTTTTAGTTTAGTTGTAGCTTCTGTTGTATAGGTACTTTCTTCGGTTACGCTCCTACTGGATTCTCATTTTTCAATAATTCGAGTGTATCTCACAAACAATATAGAATAACTTATAGCTTCCTGTTGCTCGTGTTCTGTTCTGGATTTCTCCTAAAATTCCTCATATTTCCCTTCATAATTTTTTTTGTTTGTTTTGTATTGTTTGTAGTTTGTATTCTTTTTTTCCTATTTAAATCAAAAATTTAAAGCGATCACAACGGTTTACTTCACAGACGCGTGTGGAAACATTCGGTTAGAAATGCCCGTAGAAATATTTTCTATTTTTTGTATTTGTTCGTTTCGATTTCAGATCAATTTTGGTTTAGTTTTCGTTTAAGCTGCCTTCCCTATTTTGGTTTCTTTGTTTCAGTTTCAATGTTTGCTTATATCTTCCAAATCCCCGGTTGCTATGCCTTCTATACAATAAATGTAATTAATTTTAATTTGAGTATAATTTCACTTAACTAATTTCCTGTCTAGTCAAATTGTTTGCGTTTCCCCGCTTGTCCTCGTGGTTTATTGTTCTCTCTGTTGTATGGGATTTATGGATTTTTTCAAAATCTATATAAAGTTTTGTATCTGTTTCGTGTTTTGTGTGTTGTGTTGATGGGTGTGTGTATGGCACATTGGGAGTGTATTTTCTTAAAATTTCGTTTTCCTTGTACGCGTTCTGACTATTTAGCTAAGTTTTTGTATTAGATCGCTTCTATACGAGCACAACATAAATCTATGATCGATCTGAGGCTATAACTTGATTTGCATTTAGTGATTGATGATTATTGCTTGGACTTTGACTATTTTGTTTTATAAATTTACTTTAGATTAAATATTCAATATATAATATATATTTCATATATATTTGCTCAGTATTCAATATGATTACGTTAGTTTACATTTAACTTTAACTTTATCTAAATGCCATAATTTGTGTTTCAGTTCCAGTATTCGATTTTTGAAAAAGTCTCAACTAAAATGAAAGTTTTACTAACATTTTTGTTTGTAAGGCAATTTGTTTTGTTTTCTTTTCGGTTTTTGTATTTTGTTTTCTATATATTTTCTTTTTCTTTAAATCTTTTACTCTTTTTTCTATCATATTTTTTTATTTGTTTTGTGGCTTCTGCGTTTGCTTTTGCTTTTGCTTTGAGATTGTTTTTAATCCAAATTGAATTTAGATTGAGTTCAGTTCAGTGTTGATTCAGTTTGATTTCAAAAAATAAATCCACCAAATCTAGTACAAATACAAAATTCGAATACAAAGGTGATACACAAAACGAGCTGGTTTCACAAAAAACATCTCTAACTAACCCTTCATTTCAATTCTGGAGTCTGAAGTTTCGTAAACTTTATGTTTCTTAAACTGTCTCTGTTTTTAGTTTTTTTAGTTTATCCATTAATTATTAATTAGTACATAAATACGCTGCTCGTCGCTTAAGTTTTGCGCTTTCGTTTCTACTTCTAATTCCATAATACACCAAGGACCTATCTTACAAGAAAGCTATTTTTTTGGGGGGGGTGGCGTTGTTTGTGGTGAGGGCGCGAGTAAGAGGGGATCCTATGAAAGCGAAAGAGATGGCAACAAACCTGGCCATCGTCCCTCAACGAACTGGAAGTGGAAGGATTATCGGTAGTGGTATCGGTTCGGGGAGTCGGGGGCTTGCCTGGGAAATGCTGGCAGCAGTGCGTTTTTTTATCTGTTATTTCCAGGGGGTTCCCTTGGAGCTTCTCCACCTCTCTTTGGTTGCTCTTCTGGCCGAGTCCCGGGGATCCTAGTAGAACTTCTTGCGAGCGAAGGCGTTGATCAGCTGCGGCGTGTGCTCGTCCAGACTGCACAGCTCCAGCAGGTTCTCGTTCCGCTCACTGGAGTATTCCATGGATGCATGGTGCTGACGCAGGCTCACCACAATAAATCTATATAACAAAAATCAAGAAATTTATTAAAATGACTTTGAATTTTTTCAGCTCTTAAATATTATTATTTTTGGGAGTAGGAGCTTCAGGAAGCCATCCTTTTTTTTTCTCGATAAAAATATCGTTAAAAATAAACTAATAAGGGTTTAAAACATGTTTGAATTCAGCCTGTCGACCATATAATTTATTTCAATAAATAACTAGTCTAAAATGAAACATCTGGTTGGGTCTGGGAGGGGATTGGAAGCTATTATAAAGAATAATAATTAAATTGAATGCCTCGATACTTAAAAGAAACATTTAATATTTAAATCTTTTGAGTAAGATTTAATCAGAAAGCCTTATATATTTTATTTTTAAAAGCTATCTAGTTAAATATAGTTACATTGCAAATAAATTTCATGAAAATAATATTGAAACCCAATTGTCTTTTTTTTTTTATAATATACAGTCTACGTGTTCAAGCATTGAACACGATTGTAGATACAAATTTTAAAGATAGAGTTTCAAGGGATCGGACCCATGGAAATACGAGATGAACAGAGTGGTCTAAAACCGATCTCCTGCAGCCTAACACAAATATGTAGTAGATAGTAGATAAGTAGTTTTAAATAGATTTAAGATTTTTATGTATCTTTCTTGTAAGAGAATTGTACAAAATAAAAAAAGTTTCAAAACGGAACTCATTGGAGTACGACCTATTATTGGGGCTCCTCTTAAACACTACGTTTTGTATCAAATTGACATCGTTGTGTTTTGAACTTAAGTATAAAATTAACTATTAAACTTACTACAAATTATTATTACTTATATACTGCGTGCAAAGGAAAGAAGGGTGTGTGCAAAGTTTCAAGACGATAGCTTTAAAACTGAGAGACTAGTTCACGTAGAAACAGACGGACCGACGGACAGACGGACATGCTCATATCAACTCAGGAGGTGATCCTGATCAAGAATATATATACTTTATAGGGTCGGAGATGTCTCCTTCACTGCGTTGCACACTTTCGACCAAAATTATAATACCCTCTGCAAGGGTATAACAAGCGAACCTGATGAACTTACTTGGCATTAGAACTGCGCTTCTCGCGATACTCATCCAAGAGAGCGGTCAGGCCCTTGGAGCTCATTTCTGGATTCCCACGAGTAGCGCTCGGCACCAGAACCAGAAACAAGTCGTACGTATTCTTCTCATCCGCCAGGGCCTTTTCCAAAATACCCATCAGCGACTGCTTGATCTTGGACACCTGTAAAAATCGGTTATTAAGCGACTTCCCTGGCCAAGATGTTGAAGCCCAATACCTTCTGAGCCTCGCAACAGGCGGTGGCCTCCGCCAGTGTCATCTCCTTCGTCCAGGGCAGCGTCTTCAGTTGGCCGCTCCGGTCGGACCAGAACTGGACAGTCACCTTGGGATCACTGTGAAAATAGCCAAAGGCCAGCGCCACCACGGCGTCCAAGTACTTCAAAGAGCGACAGCGACCAGTCAGATATTCTACGAGGAGAGGAGTTAGTAGGTATCTCTCACTTGGGTGAGGGGTATATTCCACTTACTGCTCATGTAGCACTCCTCCAGATTGAGGGTGATGTGCAGCCGCCTGCCCACGGCCTTGTTCAGGCCAAAGGAAGTCTCGTAGGCGCTGTACAGGAAAGTAGGCTTCTTGGACCCGACCGAGATGAGGCCCTTTTTAAAGGAAGTTAATTCAGTTAGTGGTCTACATGACATGTCATGTTATGATGTCAACTCACCACTTTCTTGGGCTTCCGGAAGTGCATGTCCTCGAGCAGCAGCCGCACAGGGTGAACATTGCCCGCCTTGAGCTTCTTCTCGTCCAAGAGCAGCTCCATCAAGGGACGCACCTGGTGGTGGTGGCGCGAGAGACGCTGCCATCGGTCTAGCAGATCATCGTAGCTCATGTGCGGCATCAGGAACTTGGCCAGTTTTGAGTCCCGGAACAGCAACACCGGAACATTGTTGCTACTGAGGCATAGATTCTGGACCAAGGGCAGGGCTTCCTTCGGATCCTGGAGCAGGCGCAGTTTTAGAATGCCGTCGATAATGCTGCGAACACTGACCAGCGGACTCAGGTAGCTGGGCCAGGTGGACAGCTCCTTGGGATGGGTGGAAAGCAAGCGCAAGGCTGCCGTTATGTCCGGAGGAAACTCCACGGCGCTGTAGTGACACTTGTGCAGCAGGTCCTTGTGGGCCGACCACTGGCTGCCGTCGCCCATGGACCAGAGGTCGAGCAACCTGTCCAAGGACTGCTTTCCATACCAATCGAGAACGGCCTTGCGCACCGTGCGACTGAAGGGCGTCTTCCGTTCGAGTCGCTTCTGCACTCGCTTCACCAGCTGCACAAACAGGAGCAGCTCCCGGTCGCCGGCTATCAGATCGGGGAACTTGTTGCGCACCAACTTGCGCTTCTCCTCGTCGCCTTGGGTGGACAGGAAGACGGCCAGGACGAGGAGCGGCTCATCGAAGCGCGGCAAGTGCTCGGCATTCGGTCCCTTGCCCAGCAAACTGGACAAGCACTCGACCAGTTCGGTTTCACCGACCTCAGAGCACAGCTTGACCAGAAACGGGACCGAGCTCTCCACGCCCCTGTCCACGCCCAAGGTGGGCGTGGCATAAACGGGGGTATCCGTCGAGCCAATGAAGCAAAAGCGTCGCAGCTTTTCGATAGCGGTCATGGATGATGGTGAAGATTCGATATTCTTGTCGGGTTCGGACTGGGTTTTGGGGTCTTCCTTGGATTTGGGATCCTTCGTGGTTGTGAGCTCTTCCTTGGTAGTGAGTTCCTTCGTGGTAGTGAGCTCATCCTTGGTTATGGGCTCCTTCTTGGTAGTAAGCTCTTCCTTGGTAGTGAGTTCCTTCGTGGTAGTGAGCTCATCCTTGGTTTTGGGCTCCTTCTGGGTTATGGGCCCCTTCTTGGTAGTGAGCTCCTTCTTGGTTGCAAGCTCCATAACATTATTGTTCTTAACATTACCTGAAATATTTCCAATCATATTAGCTTTTCAAAAATTATTAATAAAATAATCAAAGTAATCATAGAATCACCTAGTTTTTAAGCTTCAAAGTAAAGTTTCAACCAAAATAAATGTAAATTTAGGCAATAAATGTTAGAAAACGGTAGAAAACAGTAACAAAAAAATACTCCCAATAGGAATCATCATGAAAAATCAAATAAGAAATTTCCCGGAACTACGTTTTCCGCGAAACTATTTTGGCGCAACCATGCCTGCCCGTGCATGTCCGTGTGCGTGTGTGTGTCGGCGCGCCTGTGTGGGTGAGCACATGTATCTGGAGGTGTACTCACAATCGCATTCCTTCGCAGCCACTTCGCCCTTCGGCTGCTTCGCATTGGCATCCTGTGACGACTCCCCGGACGCAGTGCCGCCGGAGGCAGAGGCCTTGGCTGGCCGCTTCCCCTTTCCCGACTTCTTCATGACTTTGCGGGATATCCTCAGAGCTCCCCAAAGTGGATCGTCCTTTTTCGCTCAAGGAACACGCAATTTTTTCGCAACAACTGAAGCACTTTAAGTTTTTGGCATCCGCCCGCCGTGCTCCGGATCCGGCGATTCCTGACCTGCAGTTCCCCCCGTTTCGCATTCAGCGTCCTGCGATCCAAATTGGTAGCCAATTCCAGTCGATTCACATCCACGACGCCCGGAACGCCAAGGAGGCCAGCGCAAATTGTTAATAACAAAACAGTGTTGCCGGCTTGGCTATTTTCTCACACCATTTAGCTTTTTAATGGCCGAATATCGAAAACCTATAAGCCGTCTTCTTTGGCTTTTTTACAACACTATTTAGCTGTTTTTGGTCGATAGTTGCAAATGCGTTAAATTCAATAATAAATATAAAACAAATAACTAATAAATACCAAAGCTTTTCTTATTTTGCAATAAATAAGGAAATCAAGTTATTTTAATGGGCCGGTTCAACTATAAACTCCGAATTTCCACTAGATAGCAACACTGTTTTGTGTCTTTAAAGTTGTTTAATTTTAACTACTTTTAATTTTATCCAATTGGGTTCCATTAGCTAAAAAAACTATTATCTGGATCATAACCATTTAATTTCCATATCCTCTGTGACGCGAACCGGGCAGCGATTGTGCGAATCGGTTAGAACGGAGTGGCAGTCCCCACAATTTTCTCAAGATGGCAGCACCATTCTGGCGTTGCCATTTAATGTGTTTGATTTGAAAAATTACCGCCAATCAAAAGTTAACGGTTTACATCTTTACTTGTTTTGAATTAGACGTATTAAATGAAAATTTTTTGATTCCAAATAAAATAAAACAAAAAAAAATTAACCGAATAAATCTATCGAGATCCATTGAGTTTTCTTTTAATTTTATAAATGCCATAATATTTCCATGAAATCAATCTAACAAGGTTTATTTTATGGCTTTCTATAGGAAGGCACTACTCTTTTAATATCTTGGGTTTCTCAAATCCAACTACGTGTCTGGAAAGATAAGCCCACCCGAAAAAAACAAAGTCTCAAGTGTATTTTTGGTTGAAAGATAAGAGTTTGTATTTTTATATAATTTTTCAGTATTTTAGCTGTGTTGTTTTATTGCTGTTGCAATGTTGTTGTTCTCCTTGTTTTTGTTGTTGTTCGATCGTTTATTGTTATTAACTTATTTTAATTAGCATTTCTTCGAATTATTAGTATTAAATGTGGCTTTAAAAGTGAAATGTAACCAATTTTCCCGCGTCTATATGTTTTGTTCGCCTCGATTAGCCAGATACATATATACCAGCCTCTTTTATTCCTTGCATTATATATGGTAACCAGGAGTTATTTAATATTAGTGTTAGTAACTTATCGAAATAATATGATCGTAAGTTGAATGCTGTTTTGCGGTATAATTTATCGATTTTTGTATATATTTTTGTTGTTATTTTTTGAGGCTATAAGCAAGCGTCTGAATTGGATTGGTTTTCAATCGGATTTGTATCGATTTCTCGACTTTATTACGATTTTCATCAATTATCAAGCGACCCTAAGCAACCCTGCAATTAATTTATCTTTTGCAAAAATCTAAAGTAAAGCTGATCTCGTGTGTTTTGTTAAATATATTTGTATGTATTATCATAATAATTGTTCTTGTTTTGCTTTTTGTTTTCAATATGTGTGTGGGTACACTGGTGCAGTAACAAATTGTGATCGGTGTGTAAGCACTCGTTCCTCCTACATTTGCATCGTTTCCGTTACGCTTTTGCTCCTGTCTTCATTTCCGTTTCCGATTGTGTGTAAATGTGTGATGTTTACGCTTTGCGTGGGACTCAATTTGAAATCAAGTGTGTTTTTCTGTTTCTTTGATTTTCCAAAATGCTTCCAAAATGAAGTTCTCACCACATTTTTGGCTCATGCGACTATAATATTCTCTTCTGCTCGCCGTTCATCAATTTAAGTTAGTATTAATATTTATTATTGCCAGTTTCGATAAGAAAATAATTTTAAGATATTTTTAGTTTTACTTTTTTTTATCTACTCTTCATCGCACTCCCTATCGCTGCTTCGTGTCTTTTATCAAATTTTATAAATATTTTACTTTTGTTGATTTTGCTGTTTGGTGTTAAGTTAAATTGGTTGACTAGTGTTTATAATTCGACTTCTTCTGCTACTTATCTGATTTGCTATCCTCTTCACGCATATTGCTGTCTCGCTCTGACTTAATACTTTCTGTTACAATTTTTGCTTTTGAGTTGATTTCTTATTTGCTTTTCTTTAAATTTATTATTAATTGTTTTATTCATTTGCGAGTGTGTGTGTGTGTTTGAATTTCAGGCTTAGGCTTATATAAATTGCATTTTATCATTCGATTTACTAGCTACAGGTTAATAATAATCGTAATCATAATAATCGTGATAATAATTGCGTTAACAACCGACTAAAATGAATCGTTTTTTTTCAAGCTGATGTGCAAAAGTGACTGTGTTGGTGTGTGTTTAATTTTGTGGTTTTAATATGTACATAAACTTGTGTTTGTTTGTTGAACTTGGTTTTCAGCACTAGTTTGCCTTATTGCTTTTCCAGTTTACACGTTGTGGCATTATTTTTTCGGGAGAGGCATGGCCACAATTGATTTCATAATTTCAAGAATGGCGCTACTTATCGAACTCCTAAAATTTAGGGAAATTTGTTATAAATTATTTCTTCCTCTCGGCCCTTCGCTCTATTGCTAATAATTATTTCGACAAGCTTTAATACCTGCACACTTTAGTTATTCTTAGATATGTTTTTGATTTTTTCAGCATTTTTCTAAACAACAAAAACTCTACAACATTTATATCACAACCTTGAAATAACAGATTTAAAGCCCAAGCTAAGTTTTAAATTAAGGACACTAATTTTATATCAATTGAGTAAAACATTAACTTTAGTTGTTGAATTTATTCAACAACGCTTAAAAAATGTCAAAAATATTTTAAAAATAATAACATACATTATTTTTATGAGAGAAAAATTTCAAGGAGTATCTGGAGGTTTTCATAAAGTTTATAGAAAAAAAGGTAATCGGTTTTGTCTTATTTAAATTTTAGATTTCTTAAAAATTTTAAAATCTTTGGAAAACAAATCCTGCATTTTAAAGATATTTTTGAAATGTCACATAAATCACAAAGCCCATAAGTAGCGCCAATTCATTTTAGTATCGTTTTATAATTCTCATTGGCCGTTTTTTGAGGACGGATTAACTACTTACTAAAAAATGCAATTACTCTTTTTTATAAGTACACTCTATAGTATATATTGTGTATATGCGCTGCGAGTGATCGATCCGATGGAGCTAAACCAATTGATATATTTTATTCAATATTTATTTGTCGGCGCGGGACGATCTCTGAAGCAAAAGTGCAAGGAATGTGGTATATGGCATTGTGGCTGTCTTTTCTAATATCCTTCCAATCTGGAAATAAAATCTGAGGAAACCGGCCCCGATCCGATCTGATCCGATCAGACAAAGAATGTCTGTGTGGTGTCTACATCTTTGCTATTAATTATAAGTATATTGTTTTTCATTTTATTTGTTATTAAGGCAATCGCATTTGGTTAATTAATTGTAGAGTAGAGTATATAATGCCGTTCGACTTGAAAATTGCTATTTGTTTTCACTTTTTGTTACTTTTCTTGTTAGTTTGCAAATAAATATGTACAGTTATAGGTGTACATATGTGTGTGTACGTGAGTCAGTGTGTGTGTGTGGGAACTTATATAATTAGTTATACATTAGGTTAGACGTAATTTATTGAATCGTCCATTAATATAATTTGTTTACGTTTACTTTTTTTATGAAATCACAGTCCGTATGTGAGAAAGACTTTATATATGTATGTATGTACTCGATAATGATGGTAAAATACATGGGCTTAACTTTTTGTTAATATATATGTATATTATATATCCTACATGTTGCAAATATTTGGTGTTTTTAAGGTTTGAGTTTTTTTGAAAAAAGGTATGAGATGTGTTTGTTGTTCGGCAACTACAATTAATTAATAACAATTTGTTGCTGCTGGCTTCCTTTATTTCTTCGCATTTTTCGTAATTTCTTCACATAAGATTCTTTCTTTTTGTTGTTGTTTTTGTTGTTGTGTATATCTATAATATATACTGCATTTATTTAAAATATAAATTTGTTGTTGTTGTTGTTGTTGCTGTTGTTGCTATGAAAGGCATTTTGTTTTTGTTGATTTTAAAAAAATTTCGCTTGAATTTTTATTATTTTTAACTACATATAATGTCTAGTAATGTCTATATAATAAGATTTGATTTGAATTGTTCATTGTTGTTTACGATTTGGTTTTTTTTTTTTTGCATTTTAGTTGAATTTTTTTTTAGCTAAAATTTATTTATCTGATGAATTTCCCTTGGCGTTATCGTTATCGTTAATCGCTACCATCGACCGCTTATTGCTAATCGTCCCCATCTCCGCTCGAAAACATTTCGTTAATAATTGTTTAACATTCTTTAGGTCTACTAATAGATAAATAAAAAAAAAATACGTAACTAGATTTAGTTTTTTCCCCTTTTTGTTTAATTTTAGCTTGATATGAACTCTCACAGTAAGATGATCATGAATCGATCTTTTTTTTTCAACTTTTGGGCCAAAACGCAGGATATTCTTTCATTTTTCTTAGAGCTTTTTAGCTGTCAGGCGATAGTTAACGATAGTACACGATAGTTAGGTTCTAATATTGTCATAAAAGTTGGGACGATGTGATGCACAAGGGGGTAAATATTATTATTTTGTATTTATTTTTTTACTTGCTGGGACTCGAGAGAGATATAGAAAGAGAAAGCTGAGAAGATGAAATGTTTTATGTTCCTTCCTTTGACTCTTGTTTTAATTTCATTAATTATCATTAATTCATTTATCTACTAACTTTAGTTTCGAGTTTCGAGGCATAATCGTAGTAACCATAAATACATAATAATCATAATGATAGATTCACAAAAAAAGTCATTTCTTACCAGCTGCTGTTTTTTTTTTTTGTTCTTTTTCTATTTTGTTTTAAGTTTTAACGTTTTTTTTACGTTTACTAGATAAAAATTCATAAGCGCCATTTTGTCAGCCGATTTTTCTGATTCAGATTTGATCAACAGTTTTTTTTTTAACTACACCATTACGTTTTTTTTTAGTTTTTAGAATTGTTTTTTCGAGCACTTTCGGATCCCCTTCTTCCTTATTTTTTAAAGGCCCCCTGAAAAAATGTAGTATTTTTTACTTTTCCAACTTTTATCGATTTTTTTTTTTTGCTTTAGAAGGCCATGCTGGTACGACGGCCTCCTAAGCCCCCGCCTCCACCAAAGGCCCCGCCCCGGGTCAAGCCACTGTGCGACACACTTCTGCCCATCCTGGCCTCGCTCCCCTTCCGCTCTCTGGCCCTCCGCAGGAGATCCGAAGTGCTTGGCCGCCGCGAGTCCGGGCCGCCCCCACCGCCGGCCCCGGATCCGGCTGCCCCTCCACCCCGTCGGCAGTTTACAATGTCCGAGGTAGAGGACCGTCGGATGGTGGCCGCATCGGCTGACGGCAACTGGAGGCTGACAGCGCCTGCAACCGCTCCAGTGTAGGGTGATAGGAAGCTGGGCGAGTGTCCAGCGTTGGGGCGTCCTTCGGCGGCAACTTCCGCCTCCGGATCAACACTCTCCACCCGCAAGTAGGGCATGCGGCGCTGCGGCTGATCCACTGCCGGAGCGGAGCTATTCGCGGGCTGACTATTATTGCTGCCGCGGAGTCCTGTGTAAAGGGATTTGAGATGAAAGTCGAGGGACTTAAAATTGAGCAGAGATCGACGTTTTTGTGGCTCGTCCTGATCCTGAGTGGTCTGACCGTTGTTGTTGTTTAGGCTGTCGAACTGCCAGGACTCGGCCAGGACACCACCGGCCACTCCTGCTGCGACGCCCACAACTTCACTGGAACTGGTGATGGCCTGAAGGGGCTGATGCTGTTGGAGTTGCTGATCCTGCCTGCTTATTGTTGTCGTCATGGTATTGCTACTTAGGCTAGTTTTACTGCTAATCACTTTCAAAAATTTATTATCGTTATCTAAGGACTCCTTTCGTCACTGGATGAGGCAGAATCCCTGCTTGGCAGCGTCCTTGGCCGCGTCCACCTCCTCGATGAACGCCTCATCCTCGTGCTTCGGCGAGTCGGCGCCGCAGGGTCCGCCGCCGCTCAGGCTGAGCGGTCCCTGCGGGCACGCTGATTGTCACCGCAGCGCCAGCGTCGATATCATCGGCGGCCGCACCGGCTTGTTCTCCAGAATCCGCTCCAGTTCCAACATCACGCTGGACGACAGCCGTGGAAGGAGCTGCAAAATATTTGTAAAATAGATTAAAAAAAATCCAGAAAAAGTAAAAGACTATATAATACCGATCCTTCTAATAAATGTTCAAACAAAATATTATATAAAATTAATTAAAGACAGTCTTTTAATATGTTTCTTTATAATAGATTATACTCTTATAAGGATCTGGCAACCATATCTGTATATCAACTGCGGCTCCGTCCGAAGTTAGGTTTCTTTTTTTTTTGTTAAAAAGAAGAAAAGATTATATGACACCCAATGCTCCAAATAAAATAACTAAGAAACAACAATATGAAACCCGATGTTTAAGAAAAAAAAATTCAAATTTACTATAAGGGTAAGATTAGTTTGTGTAGAAACAGACAGACGGACATGCTTATATCAACTCAGGACGTGATCCTGATTAAGAATATATAAACTTTATAGGGTCGGAGATGTCTCCTTCACTGCGTTGCACACTTTTGACCAAAATTATAATACCCTCTGCAAGGGTAAAAAAAATAAAATATATATAAAAAAAAAATAAAAAATTAAAAATAAAATGTTGACAAATAAATGAATACAAAAACATTGTGGCATTGTCCAAAGGATGAAAGAAGGAACTTATCGACCAAATTCAATGAAAAAAATAATGAAATATCTGAGGAAGAATCGGAGAAACCAGAAAAGGGAAATCTATTGGAATTTTATTTTTTATTCATAAAAAAATGTAATATAAAATTTAAACTCGAATATTGAGTTTTTAAATTCTTAAATTAAATAAAAATTGATAAGATGATAATAAGAAAAATTAAATGAGAAAGAAAAATAATAAATAATGAAATATCTGAGGGAGAAACCGAGGACTCAGAGGAGGGAAATCTATTGGAATTTTATTTTTTATTTATAAAAAATGCAATAAAAATTTTAAACTGGAATATTGAGTTTTTAAAGTTCATTTAAAATTAATTAAAAAATTCAGAAGATATACGTTTATAAAAAAACAAATACAAAAAATTGATTTATAAGTTCTTTGAATTGCGACCTTTGCAGTTCAGCAGCTAAAAGTCTCATCTACGATGAGTTACCTGCATTTGCTTGACATCGATTGAATTGAATGTTTTTTATGAAATTAGCTTAAATCGAACTAAGGGAGATTAGTTCACTATCAAGCCGATTAAAGCACTCCTATGTATATATAATTTATTGACTAATAAATTAATAAAAAAACATTGTGACATTGTCCAACGGATGAAGGACGGACAACGACGTGGTGCTGGTTGAGAGGAGTCCATAGTATTTAACAGAAATAATAATAGGAAAAATTAAATGAGAAAGAAAAACAATAAATAATGGAAAAATTTAATAAAAATTCGACCAAAAAAGCGGGAAAAATAATAATTCAACAACGATCATTGTCGAGGAATTACAAAGAAGACCGCAAAGTAAAGGCCAGAAGTATAGGCATCCATTGAAAAAAATAATAAAATTAAAAATCAGTTTAGTGTTTAAATGTTTATAAACGTTTAAAAAAATAATAAATAAAATGAAAAATAAAACACAAATAATAAGGGAGAAGTTAACTGGTTGAAGCGCAGTAAACTAATGATTCGAAATGAACGAAATTTCGTGTTTTATACCTCCATCAGGGCCTACTAATCTCGATTGCATTTATCGATTCACTCGATTTGTAACACTCTTTGAAGGGCTGCCTTTAAATGTAGCCCTGGAACTTGGCTGTCATATTGTGAAATTCTTGTGAAAAATAAATAATTTTTAACGTGAAGACCCAAGCCGCTAAAGGTTTTTAAGTATTTACGACACTCTCTGGGGGCGATGGATTGGCATATGCGTGAATTTATTGAAGTTTTTTTACTTCCGCAGGTAAGCCAAGTACCTGTTGACACCGCGCATAATAAAATCAAACATTAGGTGGCTAAGAGGCCAAAAAAGAGGATAATCCAGTAGGGATTCAAAATATAGAGACCATAGTTTATAGTCTCCTCTCAGATTTGGTCAGATTTCGCCAAAATTGATGGAAAATATGACTTTTTTGGTGGCAAGAGGGCCGTTGGAACTTTGGCAACGTGGGCATTATAGGAGTGTTCATGAAAATGGCTCCATCTCTAATAGTCTCTGAGATGCCCTCGTTCATATAGACAGACGGACATGGCTGTATCGACCCGGCTTAAGATTATGGGGTCGGGGATGATTCCTTCTTTTCGGGGAAGATTCCTACATACACTTGTCCTTATGTAACCCTTGTACTCTACGAGTACTGGATGTAAAATAATATGGTCTTGAATGGATAAATTATTATAAATTATAAATTACTTAAAAATACGAACCTGAAGGGACTGCAGGCTCTGGTGCAGTTGCTCCGCCGAGGTGGCACCAAGCAGGAGGCATTGGACGGGCTCGTGCTTGAGTGACCAGGCGATGGAGAGCTGGGTGGGACTGCAGCCCAGCTTCTCGGCCAGAGCGGCCAAGTCCCGGAGTCGATCGCAGTGACGACGACCCTCCTCGATCCTGTCCTTGCCCCAACTTCCCTGGGGAGAGAGGGCAGCCTAGAGAAAGGGGAACCTCATCAAGTATAAAAAACTAAATTTATTCAAGGACTCCCCACTTACATTTCGATTGATTTCGTCCTCCGTCCAGGAGAAGCTCTTCGTTTTGAACGAGCCCTTGGGCAGAAAGAGCTTGTCCCCGTTCTGGGTGTCGCTTAGGGCCATGGACAGGGGACCCCAGGCCATCAGGCCCACTCCAATTTTGTTGTACATCTCCGGCAGATACAGTTCGCACTTCTCCCGACAGAACATATGGTACTCGGACTGTTCCACGATCGGGGTGATGCAATTGAATTGCCGGCAGTTGGTGTACGCCTCCATGATCTCCACCTGACTCCACCTGGCAGTGCCCCAGTACATGGCCCAGCCCTGTTGTATCACGTAGCTCATGGCTCGCACCACCTCTGCAAATGATATTTTGAATTTTTTGTTCACTTCTGACTCTATTAAAATGTCCTGCAGGACTCACCCTCCATGGGACACATGGGATCCGCCTTGTGGATGATCACGATGTCGATGTATTGCAACTGCAACCTCTGCAGGCTGGCTCGCACGCACTCGATGATGTGTTTTCGCGACAGACCTCGCTCCTCCGACCTTTTCAGGGGAAAAAGTTGATTATATAAGTCATGGAACTATGTAATTTGACATATCTGAACATTTTTAATATTTTTAGTTTCAATTAAAAAATTGAAAACTTTTCTTAAACTTAATCAATTGGTACTCACTTGGTGCTCCAGTAGACCTTTGTGGTGATGACATAGGCGGTCCGCTTCCACCCCGCCCGCTGCAGGATCTTGCCGATCTCGGTCTCGGAGTGGGCCTCCGAGATGTCGAACAGGTTGATGCCGCTCTCGATGGCCAGCTTGAGGATGGCCTCCGCCTGGTCGTCGCTCACGCCCGGCGAGAAGACCGGCCAAGTGCCCAGGCCGACATTCGAGATCCGGAGGCCGCTCTTCCCGAGGTTCTTGTACCGAAGGCCCGGGGTCGGGGTGGAGCCGTGCCGGAGTGGCAGCGCTGGATTGGAGCCCAGGCTGATCGAGCGACCTGCGGGAGCGGTGGCGGATATACGGAGCGGAATACCCAGGTAAACGGTCATCGTCGAGTGCCAGCGCGGAAATAAAAAGACATTTTCGTTTAGTGGGTGTTTCTTGTGGATTTTTTTTTTGTTGAAACGAAAAGTGCTCAGAAACGTGCAAAAACCAACACAACAAAACAACAACAAAGGCAGCATTAAGGGCTACAAACACAAAACGCAACTCTGCTATAAAAGCTGAAAATAAATCAGCCAGAAATGTGTCGAAGTGTCAATACTCTTTTTAGGGACTATTAAGCCATCACTTTTATATAATCATTTTTTAAAATCCAGCTTAACAGTTGCCTCAAAAATATTCTGATATAATTTCGTATAAGTTAGTATCATGAAACATTTTTTGTAAAATAAAGTTGATTGAAAAATAATTGAAAAATATTATATATATGATTGAAAAATAAATAGAAACCTTTCAAAAATACTCAAATGTATAAGTACTAAACATATTTAGCTGCACTTTAGCTTTAATGAATTTATATTTCAAAATACTGGCTAAAAATTGCGAATAAACGAAACCAAATGTTGCAAAATTAATAAAAATAAAGCAAAGTCCTAAAACCTTAAATTTTTCTTAAAATACATTTTTTAGTATTTATGGAAAGAGTTTAATGTGCTGAAGATTTTTTTAATTTAAAACAAAGGTTATACATTTAAAAAGAAGCAAAGGTCAATTATTTACGAAAAAAAGGATAAAGTCCTGGTATTCTGCGTTAGAAGTTCCTCAAGCCCCTTTTCTCATTATATTTCCTCTGGAGCACTTTTCTGTCCTTAAAGTTTGAAATATTTATGTCATGACGACCCTTTAAATGAATTTTTGAAGATTTTTACCAAAATGTAAGTTCGTGCTTCCAATTAGCTAATTGAGGCTGCCTCAGGGGCAGAGTATATATAAAAAAACGAAAACGAGCCGCCGTGCAATGAACATGAATAAACAAAAGTGACATTTTTCTGTTGGTTTCCTTCCCCTGTTTTTTATGCCCCCCAGTCACCATTTTTTTTTTACCTAAAGTGCGTGCGTCCGGTGCGTGTTTTTTATTTATTTTGTTTTTGGGTGCGTGATTGTGCGGCAGGAATAAGTTTGTGCGGCAAGGACTAAAGACTGACGAAAGTGTTATTTGTTTAAGGGCCTTTCCCCCTCCGATGATTGTACAAAACGAATAAAATAAATTACAGCTTTAATTATATGATGCTTTGGGCCATTAATCGTGCGTTGCTCTTTTTTTCGTGGTTTGCCAAAAACCAGCAGAAGCCAACAATTATCCATAGTTGCACAAAAACCGTTCAAGTGTTTGAGTATTTAGGCATGCAAGGACAAGCAATCGATTAAAAACAATTGAACAAATCGAAACAATCGAGCAATCGAATATATCGAAACAACATAAATGATAAGCCTATATGATAGTGAGAAATTTGATACCGAAATCAAGATGACCGCCCGTACCACTGAACTCCTCCATACAGTCGAGTGACGCAATGGGAGCCCGGCACCTGAAAAATAAAATATTAATTTGTGGGATTAGTCATTATTAGCAAGACGGTTTGGTTTTTAAAAAACACTTTTTTTTGGGGAGCTAGAATAAGAAATTCATGTATACGACTAGATGAACTGTTTAAAATAATTAAGTCATAATCACTTATTTTACGCCACACTGACAGGATTTAATATTTATAACAAGAAAGGAAAGCTAACTTCGGGCGGAGCCGAAGTTTATATACCCTTGCAGTTAAAACCGGATATATATCGCAAACATCGGATATAGTTGGCCGATCCTTATGGGAATAGGAATATATAATCCAATTTATTACAATACAAAATCTAAAAAAAGTCCCAAACTTCTATCTTCAAAAATACGAAAGTTGATATTTCTACCAAATACCATTTCCGATCGTTCAGTTATATGGCAGCTATGGGATATAGTCGGCCGATCCTAATGAAATTTGGTAGGTTGGATCAACTGACCAAGAATTAAATCTGTACTAAGTTCCAGCTTTCTATCTTCAAAAACACGAAAGTTGGGTCATTTCCGATCGTTCAGTTATATGGCAGCTATAGGATATAGTCGGCCGATCCTTATGAAATTTGGCATGTCGTATTATTTTGCCAAAAATAGCTCTCATGTCAAATTTGAACTCTCTAACTCTAAAAACACCAAAGTTATACCATTTCCGATCAATCAGTTATATGGCAGCTATAGGATATAGTCGGCCGATCCGGGCCGTTCCGACTTATATACTGCGTGCAAAGGAAAGAAGGGTGTGTGCAAAGTTTCAAGTCGATAGCTTTAAAACTGAGAGACTAGTTCGCGTAGAAACAGACAGACAGACGGACAGACGGACAGACGGACAGACGGACAGACGGACATGCTCATATCAACTCAGGAGGTGATCCTGATCAAGAATATATATACTTTATAGGGTCGGAGATGTCTCCTTCACTGCGTTGCACACTTTTGGACAAAATTATAATACCCTCTGCAAGGGTATAAAAATTACCTACAGCTTTCATATGTATGTACTTACAGTTTTTTATGGGATTGCTTTTATATGCTTGTAAAATATTAGAATGGTTATGCTGGCTTCCAAATAAAAGTCCACCAGAAAAGGAAACTTTAAAGCATTCCATATATATTAAAAATTCCCAACTAAGTTCCTATCCAAAAACTATATAATTACCCAACATATTTTTTTGTCATACTTATATTATAATAATATTTATATTATTAATATTTTAAAAAATTTATCAGATATTTTTTTTATACAGAAGTGCAAAAATCCTGGGCCCAATGCATAACAGGTATTATATATAAATGTTGGCCTCTTATTTTTTATACCCTTGCAGAAGATATTATAATTTTGGTCAAAAGTGTGCAACAAGTGAAAGAGACATCTCCGACCCTATAAAGTATATATATTCTTGATCAGGATCACCTCCTGAGTTGTTATGAGCATGTCCGTCTGTCTGTCTACGCTAACCCTTCTTTCTTTTGCACGCAACCGACTATATCCTATATCTGCCATATAACCGATTTATCGGAAATGCAATAACTTTGGTGTTTTTGGAATTAAAGAGTTCGGATTTTTTATGGAATCTATTTTTGGCAAAATAATACGACATACCAAAATTAATAAGGATCGGTCGACTATATGCTATAGCTCGGAAATGGTATTTGGTATTTTATAAAGATACCAACTTTGGTAGGATCCTATAGACTCTATAGTATCTACAAAATCAAGAAATGTACAAAATATTTTGCCTCAGGATTTTGATGCAGAATGATGGGGAATCGATCTAGAAACCGTTTAAGCTACTCCAAGAATCGGATGATAATTCGGAAAGGCCATATAGGGGATTATATCCTACAGCTGCTTTATAACTGAACAATCGGGAAATTTTTTCTTTATTTGGTAAAAATACCTACTTTAGTATTTTTGAAGATAGAAGCTTGGGACTTTTTTTTAGTTTTGTAATCTAAGAAATTGGTTTTACAAAAAAATTCTTATAAGGATCGGCCTTCGATATGCGATATTTGCGATAAATCTTAACCGCAAGGGTATATCACTTCGGCTCCGCCCTAAGTTAGCTTTCCTTTCATGTTATAAGGATACACTCGACTCATCTGGAGGGACAGATGAATGAACCGACGGACAGGGCTACATATATCGACTCTGGAGGTCAAACAGATTACTTTAAAGTATTGTACACAAAGGGCCGGAAATGTCTTCTTCACCGAAATGCATCCTTTTAACCATTATTTACCATTCACCACTATTAACCAGTATACCATCTGGATGAGTTTAAAAATAAAAACATTAGCCATACCTCAGATACGACTATGTTGCAAATTGGGCTATATTAAGGATTTTATTTTTTTTTTGTCTGGAGTATATATTTAAAAATATTTTAAGTTTTGGTATATTTTCATAGACCCAAGGATTACTCATACGCCTGGTATGGCTCTGTAACAGTTAGGGTTCAACTTATTTCTCCACCTGGTTTACCTGTAAATGGTGACCGGGTTCGAGTCATCACTAGTATTGTCCACATTGTTGTTGTTGTTGTTATTGTTGTCATTGGTCGAAGTTGCGACTGCGCCGTTGGCAATCATAATCTGCTGCTGCTGCAGCGGCTGCGTCGTCGGTCCCGTTACAAAATTGAGGTTGGCCGGCAGAGCCATTAGCAGGGGCGGCGGTGGCGCTGGCTGCGACTGCGGCTGCAACTGCGTCTGCGTTAAAGGCAGTGGCAGCGGCAGTGCCATCGGCAGAGGCAATGGCTCGCCGGCAGAAGCAGTCAAGGCTGGCATTTCAATGGCAGTTACCGTTCCATCAACGACGTCGCCGCCACCGCCGCTGCTTTCGGCTACGCCAGCTGCACTGCTGCTGCTACCGCCCTGCTCGTGGCCCAAAAGCAGCGGCGTTGTGGCGCTACTGGCGTCCAGAATGCTCTCCTGCGTCAGCGTGTGAGAGTGGGAGTGGGCTAGCGTCTGGGCAGCCGCTGTCGCGGACGACTGCGTGGCGGGCTGTGCTGCCGACTGCGCCTGCGACGCCGGGCTGCCGTCGCCATTTAAATTGCATAACGCCATGGACATGGTGGTGTTCTTCCTTATTGTTTTGAGGGTATTTGCGATTGTTTTGGTTCTGCGGCTTTCTTGTTTATTTTCTTTTTATTTTTTTTTTAAACACTATTGGACGCCATTATTTATTCTAGAATTGCTATGTTTTCCTTTTAGTGTGAATGTTTTCTATTTATTTTAGTTTTTTTCACTTTAAGCGTTTGTATTTATTTTATTGAATATTTCACTAGCATTTGTTTATTTGTCTTTTTTATTATTTTGTATGTTGATTAAAGTTTTTTGTTTGGTTTTTTTTTTAACAATTATTCTACTAAGACTGGACTACAAATCACAAGGGATTTCTTATTTTTGTTTTTATTTATTTATAGCATACTTTTAAGGCAAAGTCCAGTCGGCTGTTTGTTTATTTTGTCACTATAGAGAACTTGTTTTTTTTATCTGTTTTTTGGATCTGTTGGCAAAAATATACAAAAATAAAAAACTTGATCGAAACTTTTTGCCAAAACTTTTGCCTCAATAATTAAGAAACAGAAACAGCCCAAAGAATCCCAAAAAAAACAGCGAAAAGAAAACATTTTTAGAGCAACGGAAAGGGACAGAGGAGCCCAGAGCGAAAGAGAGAGCAACAAGAGGTATGAAAGAGAAGGAATGAAAGCTTTTCACCATACTTGAAGAAGAGGAAGGAGCCCTAGATTTGTCGCATCTCATTCCGGTCCGTATTCATTCCGATTCCGGCCGTAAACTTCACGTGCACTCGAATGATAAATGAAACTGCCTGGCAACTTGTTAACATGGTCTAATCTTGTCCTACATCCGAATACCCATGTTCTCGCATATGAGGTGATACAGTAGTGCTTCGATATATAAGACATTTCATTAACCAAAATTTCATTATATTTTTTTCTATTGCGGAAGCCTAGAGTATTTTAGTGAGGTTTTTTAAAAGTATTTTTGAAATTGTTCTCAGAAATGTTTAAATCATATTTCGTATAACTTTGAAATACTATTTTCAACATTTTGAAACTATCCTTATAGATTCTTATCATATCTAATTTTATACGTGTAGATTATAATTTTTTATCTTGATGAAATGTTTCCTAATCTTTGCATTGTTTTTCATAAAAGGTATGCCTGTTAAAAGAATTTTAATGGATAACTTTACACAACTTTATATATGTACATATGTACATTCAGAAACCCTTTACAAACGAAAATTTTATTATTTCATGTTTAACCAAAAACAAAAATTTAAAGAATATCTTATGAACGTCGTAAATTATCTATTGTATTTATTTGGTGAATTTGATTTATTTATTCAGGAAGGTATTTAGTATAAAATCATTAACATAATTCTGTCTTAGCGTGTAGTAGACAGTATTGTATTTCTATATCAACAAAATACGATTTTTTAAGCAAAAATTGCTTTAATCAAAGAGAAAAAGTCCAACAACCCCTCATATGGAAACAAATCTAGTTATAGTCATGTCTTGTTTTTAAAACAAATATTTGAAAACCGAATTTTAAAAATGTCTAAATCATTATGGTATATATGATTAACTAAATCCTTAAAAAAATGTGAAAATAGTCAGTAACACTCAGTCAGCAAACACTTAACAGTGAATATAATGAAAAATGATATTCATTTCATTCGAACTTTAATTCAAAAGCAAAATACTTTCAATCTATATATTCTGTGTAAACTACTTACTAAATTATGTTAAAAAAATTAATAATTAGTGGATTTGATCCAAGATTTGATCCAAGATATGGATTTGATATGTACAAGAATACATATAGTAGTTTAGTACCAGAATACATACACTTAGTTCTTAGTCTTTCTTTTTTGAAAAAATATTTTGTAAAGTTAAAAATGGTGCTTGAAAAACTAATTAATTTATATGCCAAAAATACACGCATAAATTGAAAATGTTTTGTGTATTTTAAATATTTGGAAAAAAAACTTGGACTAATCCATTTATATTTGAAAGAAACCATTTTGTGAGTGATCAACGTCAACGTCTTGAGAATATGTTTTTGGCATAATATGCTTGCTTATTCTATTTTCCATATTGTCGCAAAAATTAATTTAGATGCTATATCCCAATATATCGAATAGAGATCTTTAAGCAGCCCCTTCAGATAAAAGTCGAAATATCCGGGCACACATAAATAAACTTTTGATGGCTTTTAAATTTAGATCGCTGCTGCCGGTTCATTTAATCCGCCACGGGCCAAAAGTATCTATTGGATGTATCTGTGTCTATATATCTGTCGCATCTGTATCTGTATCTTTTGGCGTCTTGTCGGTATTCTTTTTTTGAATTCTCATTATCGAGAGTTAATTATAGATTAACCTTGACAGTGATTCGGAATCGGTCAGACAGCTCTTTGGTCTTAATTAGCCGAATCAATTTGGAAATCAAGTCATGGCAGGAAGATGCATTTTCATCGGGGAAAATGGAAAATTGGACTCAGAGCCAAATATGAGAGAGCGCCCAAAGAGAAAAAGTGTGAGAGAGGGATAGCTTTTCACCATGACCGGTGTATTTTCCTAAAAAAAAAAAAGAAAAAAATGAAAAGCAAGAAATACAATTTTCCTTTCCCTGCATTTCTGTCGTCTATTTTCCTTTTAGAAACTTTTGACGTTTATGCAATGGTTTACACAATAAAACTGACACCTCTACAGGTAGCTAGAACTCTGGAAAAGGGGATGGGTGGATGGTGCATTACACTAGTCAGCAAAAGTTTGAAGAGGCTTAGGTTTCAGTTTAAATTTAAAACAAATTACTTTTGAATATTGAACTTATATTACATCTTGTATAGTTAATTTTTACGGGAATTGAAAATTATTTTATCTTTGTTTGTAATTCAATCAATTATGATTTATAAAAAATTTGAAGAAAAAATACATAAGAATTTTGTATTCACCACTGAACATTTTATTGCTTAAAGCTATTGAAAGACTTGAATAAGGAGTTTAAATGAAGCTGAATGGATTCGAATATATTTTACTTGTATTTCGTTAATACATGTAAGCTAACATATGGTGTAAGGCTTGAAATACTTTCATTTAGTACTCTGTACATATACATATACTAGCAGAAATTGAACTTTCATAGCTTAGAGAAATTCTAATTTAGTATAAGATTATCATGTTTGTATTTAGAAAGCTACAAGTAAGCTCCGAAAATAAGAAAATTTGGAGGTATGTAATTGTTACAACAAACATATGGTTTAAAAAAAATAAGTAATTTTTTAATGTTGCACTACATTGGCTTCTGGGATCAATGACCATTTTTATTCAAAGACTGCATCTCGGTCAAAAGTTTCGAGAGGCGGTTGTTGCAAACTTTTCCCAAAAACAATGGATCCTAGGCCCTTTCTAGGCCAGGACGACAGTTGACTGAACAGCACATGCTTCTCCAAGTAAATATATACTGCGTTATGCGAATACCTAACGAGATACATGGGGAAATAATTATAAACAAGCAGGTGTTAGGGAGCTCGAGGGACTCAGAACGGCAGCTAATCTAGAAATTAAACTTTTAGTCGTGGGCTGGCATTCACTTGCCAGCCCTGCCACTAGCCTTATCCTCGATTATCCTTGCCGTCCTTGTCGGCCCGATTATCCCACAAGTGGGCGACGTGTGGGTGGGCGTGTTCGACAAGCCTGGCAGATTATCAGGTCACACAAAAACAAGCCAACCCGAACGCCTCCGATGCCTGACAAAAGGATAATCGGAGGTTACAGAAATCCTTAATCAACGAGCAATTGATTATGTGCTTGATTTGACAGCTACTTTGCGGGAGAACTACTTTTGGCTTTTGTTCGCCAGTCCGTCTCAGGTCCCATTGAAATTTTTCAACTTTTCAAAAGCCGAATTTATTGATGGGAAGGACAAATTAATTATTCTTGGGCAACTAAAGGTAAAGGAAATTGTTCTTGTTGGTGAAACTTTAATAATCTTTAAAAAGAAACAAACAGAAGTTTTTCCCCCTTAATCTATAATTTATTTTGATTATGTATAAAAAATAGATTATTTTATTTTCACTAAAACATAAATTAATGGTTCAAATTAATGGTGAAACACCATTAACGACCAAAAGTATTCTACCTATTTAATATAATTAATTTAGCCTTTATCCTCATGTCTTATAGGCTATCTTATTCTTATTTTCCTTTGGATTTTTTTCAGCATAATTAAATAAAATAAATATTAAAAAATCAAAAAAATATAGCGATAAAATAATCGAAACCGAATTATATTTTGTGAACCCTTTACCCTATTATTTTCCAGACTATACCTTAAATTTAAAAGATCAATTAATAAAATGAGCGAATAAAAGCGACGAGTAACTAGTGAATAGTAACAAGCAGACAGTAACGAGAGGTTAATGAAATATTCGTTGTCCTTCAGCGAGCTCAAGTTCGTATCTTATTTCATCTTAAAATTAACCCGCAAGCGAGTTCGGCCTTTAAAATAATCATTTCAACTGAATGTCATTTAGGCTAATTGCCTTTGCATTGATTTTGCTTGAAAGGCTTACCTTACCTAGCATTTTGTGCCACACGTGTGTCAAATCAATTCATGACTTGCAATGCACTTGTCCCATTTGGCTAATTTCCTCGTTGCTGTTTTCGTTGAATTTTCCTGCTGCCCTTTGTTATTTTTCCCCCTTTTTTTATTTTAGGTCGTTTATTTTGCTTTTTCTGTAACTGCTGCTGACACTTGCTGTCTGCACTTAAAATCGCATCATTGGCGATTATCTTTTCCTGCTCTTTCCCTGGCATTTGTTGTGTCGACCTTGACTCATGCACGAATTGGAAAATGTGTTTTCCTTATTTCCCTTTTACATTTTTTTTTCGAGATTTTTTGAGTTGTTTTTGTTTTGCAGATATTGCTGCTGGCAAAGGCCAGAAGGCGTCTAAGCTGTTTACAAGCTTATGGTACAAAAAAAAAAAAGAAGAAAGAAAAATGGTTTATAGTGTCAGCCTCTGGTTTCCTAATTATGTGGCACAAAGGCAGGCTGGGAGACGGGAGGTGGGGCAGGGGGCTTCAAGAAAAATCCAATTTAAGGCACTTGCCTGCTACTTTCTAGCTGCAACATCATCTAAAGCAACCTTGACTGTTGCAACTGCAACTGCAATTCGTTTGCCCTCACCCTCTCCGTGGCCCTCTCTATGTCGTCCTGCCTCTCTTTCTGTTTTTT